CAGTAGCATATCTAGGACCAGTACTTGAGATTCCCCTTTTAGGCCAAAGATCTTTATTACTTGATGGGCTGTAATGATTTTCTTTAATACTAATGTTCTTAGAGTGAGAGATAATGTCTTTTACTTCTTTGCAATTTGAAAGAATTCATCTAGCAAATTTAGGTAAGAAGTATAACAACAAGTAAATCTTAGACCCCAAAAGAAAATAGATAATGAAACATCAATGAATTGGCAGTACCTACATAGACTTCAGTGTTGAAGAGGATTCACAGGTTAAATTTAAGCTTCGACACAGGAAGAATGCCATGATTGACTAGTAATACCTGCCATAGATACAAGAGTAGAGAGCAATGCATATGTCAGGCATGGTACAATAACCAGTTCTCTTCTACTGTATGAACCAGCCCCCCACCCCCAGAAAGATACACATGGAGAAAAGGAGGAGAATATAGATACACACTCAGTATCTAGAGTGAAGGAATCAATCCTGGTTACCAATGTGGTGACATATGCTCCTGTTAGATTGTCTCACTGCTAACTTCTTTTAACCCCTAAAACTATAGGCATGTAGTAGGTGCTCAATAAGGACTTACTAATTGATTGAAATTAGGATATAACAAATACTTTCACAACAGAGCTGTCCCATCTTTGATTTCCCTGTGCCAATCATAGTTCTTGGCACTTACTTGGTGCTTTAAAATTCCTTGTGGAATGAAAACACTGCCTTCCAAGCATGCCTTAATCTGTAGGTTATCAATGCATAGTCCCATCTGATTTACAGTTGAGAATATTGTGAGCCGATGACTGTATTACATTAGTGTCTTCTATATTCTTTGAACCACCTCTCAAAGTTGCCTAGATGGCGTGAAAGAAAAAGGGGGATTCAGAAAACTCTAACATACGGGATTTTATGAGTCAAATTGCGGGGAAAATCTGACTCCGCATGGACTTCCATTCTGTATGTCATTCTTCCGTAGGCTCACTTTGCATGATGTCAGGAGTTCCGGGAGTCAAAATAGCGTGGGGGCATAGATCCAATATTGACTCATACTCGGTGGAAGAAATCTGCACCAAAGTCTGGATGAGATAATTTGGTTGTGAGTGCTAGGGATATGACTGCTGATCACAGAGGAAAAAGGGTAACCAAGGTGTAAATTTTGTCTTACCATTAGCTACTCAGTTAAGAATGAGGAGAGTATGAGATACGATCAAAAATCTTGCTGACGCCTAATGCATGATCATAGCCAGTTTTCAGAAAGAAAGTCCAGCTGAAAAGAAAAAAGAAAGTTTTCAGCCCCTTTGTTTTAGTAATAAGGTCACACTTGGGCTCCTGGTGGGTTTGTAAAACTTTTAAAGGATATCTTGGTGGCAAATTATTCTGCAGTCTCAGTGTTGGCTGAACCAACAAGGTGTGAAACCTCTAGTTTGCATGTGTAACATAAGGTGTTTTACAGGCAGAAAAGAGAGAGAAATATCTTCTTTGGTAAAGTTGACAAGACAGGAAAAGATCACAAAAGGAAATACTATTGTAGTGACAACATTCTGAACCAAAGAATCATATGTTGAAAGATGAAAATCTAATTAAATATGATTCAATTCTAGCCTAGGATACAGGACCGGTTACAAAATTTGCAGAAATCAGTATGAAATGAAAGTGGAGCTTTCATTTGTTAAAAAAATTATTAGGAATTTTAAAGAGGTAACAAAAGAGCATTTAAAGTAAATGTAGGCTGTTCCAAGTACAGAATCTTGATAGATTGTGTCTCTTGTCCATGTAGTCTCATGTCTGTCAAGTTGGGTCTGATGGGATATATAACTGAGAATTTTAAAACTTTTATTTACAGTCTTACTATTTTTTAAGAAATTAAAGAATGACCATTACCTCACAAATTCTACAGAAAAAAAATCCCAGACACCAAACCTAATAGGATATAATTATTTGAATTCACATGTCTAACACAGTTGAAGACACATACAACAATATTAATGGATATTGACTGATTGGGAGACAGATAGATTAGGGGAAAGATCTTGGTTCTATACTTGGCTCTACATTATCCAGTTGAATGAATTTAAGCACATCACTATTTTTCTGAGTCTTGATTTACAAATCTAAAAAGTGAGGAAATGGGCCATAGATAATCTCCCTAATTCCATAATTCTGTGCTGTGCTTGGTCATGTTATATAGTTATTAGAGGATGGATTTTAGTCATGTAGTTACCAATTGCAAACATCTGACCATATTGTAAACACATGCTTAATATATATCTGTAATTTTGAGTAGGCATGCCCAATTTACAAACACCCAGATTATATATAATTCCAAATTATGGCCCCCACTGCTCTTAACTCCTCACCCCCAACACCATATTTCAGTGGATAAACCAAGGGATGGGCAAGACCAATCTTTACGTCTTTTCAGAAAGTTGGGAATATTCCTTCCAGTAACTAGAAGTTTGGCCATTGGTTTCTTAGATGGTGGTGAGTGCCTGCAGAGTGTTCCAAGGTTCTGAGAAGGATTTCTTGCCACTATGTCATGCTGTGAGCACATTATCTGGGCTGTACTTTTTTTCTGAGGAGAGCTACAATAAAGCTTTGTGGCCAGCATTATAATTTCTATACTTTTCACTTGCTTAACATGAGACTTTTGTCCCACAGGTAGGTTTTGATCTTGTTTATTCTTTGGGAAGATAGCCCCCTCAAAGAGTTTTCTGGCCTTTTGGACATAAAATAATACATGAGATTGTCCCAGTAAGCAGAATTTGGCTAAAGAGGCATAGCATTATGTTTCCAACATTGACCATAAATCCTGTTTAATTCAAAACCAGTTTCCTACAGGTTAGGTTTGAGAGCATTATGATGAGAACTTAAGGGAAAAGAACTCAGAGTAGATCTTCAAATAAGCATTCAGATTCACATTTATTCAGAGCTGTCTATGGGTACATCTCCATGTTAAAATGCTTTTATGGAATGAGAGATGGTTATAGAAGCAATACAACAATTTCTGGTTTTAAAAAACTTGGTCTAACAGGGGAGAGAATACCTGAGTAACTGAGAATGAGGGGCCAGGGCTCTTAAAAAAGTATGAAGCAAGTGCTAGGACTGAATGGAGGATATAAGGTTAATTTTAAGAAGTAAATTTGGGGAGAACTTATGGAAATAATGTATTTTTAGGCAAGGCTTGGATGGATGGGTATCATTCCCGGTGGCCAATGACGGGGAAGGGAACTCAAGACCAAACAAAGGAATAGTGTAAGCAAAGGTTCAGGATGTGTTGTTTTAAGGAACGACTGGTCATCTAACCTGCCCAAATAACAATAGATAACTTATTGGGTGCCTGACTGCATGCCAGGTAAAATTCTTAGTACTTCATGTGTACCAAGTAATTTAACTTTCAACTGAAGTCTAGAAGGAGATACTAATATTAGTTTCATTTTAAAGGTAAGGAAACTAAGTCTTAGAAGAATTAAGACGCTTCCTCAAAATCACATAGCCAGATAGTCATGGAGCCAGGATTCAAGTCTGCATCCATAACACAATACTCCAGATGTATGCAGAGTACAGGTACAAGTGCAATATGGGTTGGAACCAAAGAGTGGAGGACCTTCTGTACCATCCTGAGCGTTTTACTTCAAAAATGAATTATTGAGGGAGGAAAGGAGGAGAAAGAATCCTGGCTTTTTTTTTTTTTTTTTTTTTTGTATGTGGAAAGAAAAGATATAAAAAAAAGAAAAGAAAAAGATTCTCCATTATTAATGGTTAATTGGAACAATTGACCATCCAAGCTACACTGTTCAATAGGGTAGCCTCTAGCCACATGTGGCTATTGAGCATTTGGAATATGACTAGTCCAAACTGACATGTGCTATAGGTATAAAATCCATGCTGGATTTTTAGGATTTAATATGACAAAGAAAGGTAAAATATCTTACTAATAAATTTTGTGTGTTGATACATATTAAAATGATTTGGGGATGTATTGGATTAAATACAACATATTTTTTAAGTTATTTTTTATCTATTTCTTTTTACTTTTCTTCTTCTTCTTCCTCTCCTTCCCCTTCTTCTCCTTCCCCTCATTCTCCTTCTTCTTCCTCTTCTTCTTCTCCTTCTCCTCCTCCTCCTTCTTCCTTTTCTCCTTCTTCTTTTCCTCCTTGTACTTCTTCTCCTCCTCCTTCTTCTCCTTTTTCTTCTCCTCCTCCTCCTCCTTCTCCTTTTTCTTCTCCTCCTCCTCCTCCTCCTTCTTCCTCTACTTCTCCTTTTTCTTCTTGTTCTTCTTGTTCTTCTTGTTCTTATTCTTGTTCTTGTTCTTGTTCTTGTTCTTGTTCTTCTTGTTCTTGTTCTTCTTGTTCTTGTTTTTCTTGTTCTTGTTCTTGTTCTTCTTCTATTATTTCTATTGGTAAGTATTGGTCCAGGGCAATACAAAGTTGTGGTAGATATTTTACTAACCAACTTTGATGAAGGACTTCCTTACCACTTTGGCTTTTTAACCACACTCTTTCCTTGCTTTCTGGTCATTTGCAAGAAAAATTTTAAAAGGCACCCCCCCCCTTTGTAAAAGTTTGAGCTCCTCTAGAATTTCCTTTTATACTTGCTCCTGACCACAAACAAATGATCAATGTGCTCTGTGGACAACAACTCAACAATTTACAAGGGCAAAGGATAGAGATGCAAAAAAGTTTCCAATCCATGAATGGTGTGAAGTAAAAGTGCTTTCAAAGGATCCCACAAGAATGGCACAGGTGGGCATAACGGGTCTGCCTCATCGTCAAAAGACCCAAGTAGTTGAAAGGAAACTCTAACTACAACACCAAAATGCCACAAAACCATAGTTATTAATACAAACTAGCATCTCCGCCTATCTGTCACCATCTCATCTAAAAAAAAAAACTTGTGAAAATACGTAATCCTGAGGACTTCAACTAGGTATAAATACCAGCAGCAGAAGGAGATGCAGTACAGTTTTCTGATTGTCTGTAGGTCGGCTATTAGAAACAAAAGATCAGCTGAGTCTTTCGGACCTGATCAACTTAAACTGGGAGCTATTGATTTCAACTACTTCAGCCTAACTACGAAACAATGAATTATACAAACTATATCTTAGCTTTTCAGCTTTGCGTGATTTTCTGTTCTTCTGGCTATTACTGTCAGGCCATGTTTTTTAAAGAAATAGAAGACCTAAAGGAATATTTTGTAAGTATGATCTTTTAATAACACTTGCTGGTGTTGAAATGACTGAATGTTGACTGGGAGTTGTCTCTATGATACGCTGACATCTCTAGGCCATAGTCATCTTGAGAAGACTTGGTGTTATTTTGACTGTTTACTATGCATATTTTTAACTAAATGATCTAGATAGTGCTTTTATCCTCTGCTCAATGTGCTATAGAGACATAGGGGCTTTCACTAATCTCCCAAAAGATGGGAATAATACGGATATAAAGCACAATGTTGATAATTTTGTGGTGAGAATTCAACTGTGATGTCAAGTAATATGCATATTGAAACGACTATTAGTTTCTGACTTCTTAGAGTACTAGTGGGGTGCAATAAAAGGTCAAGATTAGCATGAAACATGGTAATCTGAATTGATCAATTAAACAATATGAGGTCCTTCAAGTTTTGGCTTAAAAAAATTATAGGTGTTTCTCTCCAAACAATGGTTTCAAAGTTATACTGCCCTGTCTATGTTATCTATGGATTATACTTGAACTCAGTTACTTGCTGAGATTTTGTAGGAGTTATAATCTGGCTTATATGAAAATTTTAGTTTGTTTTGTTTTACGAGCTTTTAAAAATGTTATTTGTGGTTAATTAAAATAATTTTTACATTTTAAATATTTTATGACTTGTCCAAAATGTAGCTATTATAATTGTAGCTATTATATTCAAACATTCTCAAGTTTTTTTATTCTTACATCATCTAAACAATTTCACACACACACACACACACACACACACACACACACACACACACGGAATTATCTTTTAAAGCTGGTAATACCGTATAGGAGGACATCAGTAGATGTTATGGAGACCAGTACCATAGGGGGGCAGTATTTTATAGTGCGATGATTTTGCCGATTTTTTTTTTCTTTTTTAACTAGGCTTGAAAATACTTTCCTTTCCTTACTATAGTTATTTGGGACAATTGAACTATCACTGGCCTTGTTGAGTTCATTTGTAATATTGAAATTTAAGGGCTATACTAGGAAATAAGAAGATAAAATGTCGTGATAGTATTTGGTTATATCCAACATACCAGCTTTACTAAATACGGTTGAAAAGAAAATTAGTGGATATTGTCAGCAATAAAACTTGAAGTACATTTTTAGGGATTGTAAACCATTTTTCTTTCTTCTTTTTTAGAATGCAAGTAATCCAGATGTAGCAGATGGTGGGCCTCTTTTCTTAGATATTTTGAAGAACTGGAGAGAGGTAAACTGAGTTTTTCCATTTTGTTGCTTTCCCTGTTGCTTGTTTTCTGAGGCATAAATTCATAGCAACCTTTCTTTGTGCTCTTTTCTTCCAAGGAGAGTGACAGAACAATCATTCAAAGCCAAATTGTCTCTTTCTACTTGAAACTGTTTGAAAACTTTAAAGATAACCAGATCATTCAAAGGAGCATGGATACCATCAAGGAAGACATGCTTGTCAGGTTCTTCAATAGCAGCAGCAGTAAGCGGGAGGACTTCCTTAAGCTGATTCGAATTCCCGTGAGTTGATCTTAATTCTTTCTTTGATTTCATTGCAGAGGCTCTTGCAAAACACAGAATTTCCAGAAAGTAGATTAGCTACTGGGTATAGTTGTTAAAACTGTGAAGTGAACCCATGGCCAGAACTTTTCCTTAGTAATTCCATTTGTGCTTGTGGGTGACTTTGCCAAGTCAATATGGAAATCATTTAATTTTGTGAGTTGGGGGGAAATGCTGGCGTTGCGTCTTTGTGCAGAGACAGGTGAATGGACAAATCCTGTGAGGAGGAGGTAGTGAAGGAGCCAAGGGGAGTGCTGAGAAGAACTTCTCTCATTGCTCCTCATTTGTGTGATGGAAGTGTCCTGCTTAGGCTGGGAGACTGCAGGTCTTAATGGAAAGGGCAGGGGTGGGGGGGTGGAGAGGATTTGTGTCCTCCTCCCACATTGGTCACCAAGTAAACTTGTGACCCCAGATGAATCACAGGCTTGGCTAGGGCTCCCTTTCCTCACCCTGAAAAGAGGCTTTTGGGTTCACTCTAATTTCTCTGTTCTCCTTTGCTCTAAAACTGTACCATGCCATGGGTAGAAAAAGAGAACGAGATAGCAAAAAACTCTGGTCTCTGAAAAGGCACTAAGCACATTCTCTTGCCAGGCTCTGGTCAGCCTCTCATATGGTACAGCCCAAGTAGCAGAGAGAGTGTTTGTTTTTAGAGAAGAAAATAGAATTTATACCTTATGAAGAAATTGTTGTATCAACTTTTGGATACTTAGCTATCTTAGCTGGAGAGATCCTTAGCTTGTCAAGCCTTATCTCATGAAACTGCCTTGAGTCTTTAAAGTTATGGCTTCCAGAAGCTGAGAGATAACTTTGAAGCATAAAGATAAATCACATTTTCCAAAATTTTATCTAGGAGACAAAGGCCACTAGATTCTTTTGGGTTTGGCTTTGATGTACAAAATTTGAATGAGAAAGGCCAGGGTCTTGTGATGACTTGTCCTCTAAGGATGTGTGGCAGCTGTCATTCTTCCTTGGCCTGTCTCTCACCCCTCTCAGATCAGATAAGGGCTTGTTCTTCAGGATTTCTCTAGTCTCGAGTACGTTAGACGGTACAGAAGTGGTTTGGAAAATTATTAAGACCATTACCATTTTCCACTGATAGTGTTTTCCAATGGTCAGCGGATCCCTTCTGACCCCAGGCTGGAGACTGAAAAAGCACTTGTTCCTAACTCAGGGCTGCCCTTTGCTTGCTGTTCAGTCCTAGATGAGTCTCTTGGTTTCTTGGTGATACTCGGAACACTGGAAAGTAAAACTTATCACTGGAAAACACAGCTGGTAGAAACTTTTTCCTACTCTGCTGTAACGGGGCCTTGAAAAAAATCTGTGGGTCCCATCCTTCTGGAAGCTCCAAGCCTCCTGTTTCATAATGGGCAATTTGAGTGAGGTCTCAACCACTGTCTCCTTTGGCTGAGTTGCCAGTATTTAAGAATGTTATGCTTTTTAATAATTAGTCTTGAAGCCTAGAATCCCTCTAGTTATTCTCAGAAGTGTGGCAAGGTGGTCACAGTGTTTCCAGTATTAGAAAGAAACATAGTGGCAGAGCCAAGATGAAAGTAAATGGTCCCCATTTTAATAAAGGTGAACTCACCTAAATGGTCCTGCAGATTAGAGTGAGGAAATAGTTGAATTTGCTTGGATAGAAAGGTGCAGTGAAATTCGCTGCAATCCCTAATTTTAAAAGTTTGTGCTAGTAATTGCTTATTGCCATATGAATATGCTTAGTGTTTATTTTTATTTATTTATTTTTTAAAGATTTTATTTATTTATTTGTCAGAGAGAGAGAGAGGGAGAGAGAGCAAGCACAGGCAGACAGAATGGCAGGCAGAGGCAGAGGGAGAAGCAGGCTCCCTGATGAGCAAGGAGCCCGATGTGGGACTCGATCCCAGGACGCTGGGATCATGACCTGAGCCGAAGGCAGCTGCTTAACCAACTGAGCCACCCAGGCATCCCTGCTTAGTGTTTATTTTTAATCCCATTGTAGAAATGATGAAACTGACCAAATTGGGGGGAAATGAAAAATTATAGTATTCATCTTAGACTTGGTGTTTACAAAGTGCTGAACCTATATTGGTGGTTCTCAAACTTTGGTGAGTAACAGAATCACCTGGGGAGCTTAATAACCACCCAACTGCATAGGTCTTCTCTGACTTCATGCATCTGGGTCTCTGAGTTCTTCATTAGGTCTCCAGGTTATTCTGCAACACACTAAAAGTGAGAACCATTGACCTATAGTAACTCATTTGATACTTACAGCAAAGACTAATTAAAGTACAAGGTGGATAGAATTGGTAGGGAGCCTAGAGATGATTGAAATAATCTCCTCATTGTTTAGATGAGAAAACAGAAGTTCAGAGAGGTCAAGTGACTGGTTTAAAATCAGAGTTATTGTACACAGTATTCAAACCCACATTTTTTGTCACTCCACTTCACTCCACTAAGGCTCTTTTCACTATATAATTTTGAGAATTCCATGGCAGTAAATTTGAGGATGTATCATGTATCCCATCATATTACAGCATAACTGGCAATTTATTTATAATTTTCATCTTAATAAGTGAAGAAACCACCATTGTGTATTAAGATAATATATTGTCAGTGAAAATCATTTGTTTTGAAGGAATACTTCTACTTTCATGATATTAACAGCATAATATTCTGATGGCTTGTATGTCTGGAATTAATTTTGCTGCTTTCTTCCCCAATAGGTGAATGATCTGCAGGTCCAGCGCAAAGCGATAAATGAACTCATCAAAGTGATGAATGATCTCTCACCAAGATCTAACCTAAGGAAGCGGAAAAGGAGTCACAGTGTGTTTCCCGGCCGCAGAGCATCGAAATAATGGTCATCCTGTCTGCAATATTTGAATTTTTAAATCTAAATCTATTTATTAATATTTAATATTTTACATTATTTATATGAAGATATATTTTTAGACTCATAAATCAAAGTATTTATAATAGCAACTTTTATGTAATGAAAATGATTATTAATATATGTATTATTTATAATTCCTTTATCCTGTGACTATTTCACTCAACCCCCTCCCTTCTTTTTTTTGACCAACTAGGCAAGACTGTGATTTCAAGGCATAATCTCAGGAACCAACTAGGCAGCTGACTTAATTAAGACCCTGTGGGTTATGCATTTATTTCACTTGATACCATGAGCACTTATAAATGAAATGATGCCATCCAGGCGCTGCCTACTCGGGAACATGTCTGTATTATATGCCACTGCTCTAATGGCACGTCAGATGACACTTGAATGTGTCAGGTGATACGACTTGTCTCCTGATTAAGAATATAGCATTTCTTCTCATGCCTGGTGCTTCAGAATACCACTGACAACTATGACTGTACCCAAATGGAAAGTAATTAATTTGTTTAGTTTATCAATATTTAATATATATGAATAAAGTATAATTTCACAATGATTTGTGCTGTGTCAGACTTATAAGTGAGGACTGGGGTAAATGAACTACACTCTAATGAATTAGTAGGAAGAAAGTCATTTTTTAGCTGTGGAAATCTTAGAATTGAATGAAGCCCCAAATGTGCTACTTTTCTCCACTGGGAATTTCTTGGCTTCCTTTGCACCATCTGACAGCTGTTTGAGTTCTCTTTCCAAAATATAAATTTAATCATGTTACCATTTACTTCAGAGAGTCTGCCATAGAAAGTAGTCCAAATTGTTTAGCTTGGCATGCAAAGATTTATTTCTGTCACTTCCTCAAATCCCTATTGCATCATTTACATAGGTATCCCCCATCTCCTCTGTCTACCTTGGGCAAATACCACTGGGTATGGAATAGTGAGTGTGAGCTCTAAGGAGAGAGGCCTGGATTGGAGTCTTGGTCCCACCATTACAGGTGGTATAAGTTTTAATTAATTCCAAGCTGCAGTTTCCTCAGGTGATAAAGAAGAATAATTGTGACTTTCTCATAATATTGTGGTGAAAGTTCATTCTTTCATTCAAGAAATATTTATTGGAGGGGAACCTGGGTGGCTCAGTCGTTAAGCATCTGCCTTCGGCTCAGGTCATGATCCCAGGATTCTGGGATCGAGCCCCACATCAGGCTCCCGGCTTGGTGGGAAGCCTGCTTCTCCCTCTTTCACTCCCCCTGCTTGTGTTCCCTCTCTCGCTGTGTCTCTCTGTCAAATAAATAAATACAATATTAAAAAAAAAAAATAGAAATATTTAATGGAGCAACTACTATGTGCCTCGTGATGTTCTAGATATTTAAGATAACACCGGGAACAGGACAGAAATCCCTGCCCTTGGAGAATTTAAAATTTAGCCAGGGGAGACAGATAATAAACCAAATACATAAAATATTAGTAAATTGCATGTTATGTTAGAAGGTGTTAGGTGCTATGCAAAAAGAGTAAAGCAGGATGGGGGAAATTGGGAAAATTATATGTAAGGCTAAGTGAGTGGGCTATAGGTTTAAACGGAGTGATTAGAGTTGACTTCATTGAAGAGATGACATTTGAGGAAGCACTTGTAATAGGCAAGGGAGATAGCCACTTGGATTCCAGGCAAGGGGAACATCCTTGCAAAGGCTCTAAAGTAGAGATTTGCCTTGCATGGTATAAGAAAAGTCAGTAGACCAGTGTATAGGAGCAGAATGAGTCAAGAATAACTCAAATTTTTTGACTGAGCAACTAAAAAAAATGAAGCTGCCATCAACTGAGATGGGGAAACTGGAGTGAGCAGGTTTGGGGAGGAAAGTCAGTTCAATTTTGAATATGAAGTTTAAGATGTCCATTAGAATTCTAAGTGAAGGTGCTGAGGAGGCAACTGGCCAGATCAGTCTGAAGTTGGTAAAGAAGTCTGGACAATTGATATAAATTTGGGAGTTGAGGCATAGAGAGGTTATTTAAAGACCTAATACCAGGTGAACTCATGAAGGTCATGAGTTTACAGAGTGAAGAGGAGTGCAAGGATTGAGTTTCCAGGCATGTCATCATTAAGAGGCTAGGGACAGCCCATGAGGGAGACTGAAAAGAAATGGTCAGTGAAATAAGAGGACAACCAAAAAAGTGAGACATCCTGAAAACCAAGTGAAGAAAGTGTTTCAGGAATAAATTTGTCAAGTTCAGGTTGGTCTAGTCAGATGAGGACTGAGAACTGACCCCTTGATTCAGCAAAGCAGAGGCCACTGTTGATCTTGGACAAGAGCAATTCTGATGTAGGATGAGGTTGAAAGCCTGATTGCAAGGGGTTTAAGAGAAACATTACAGACAACAACCATGAGTAACTCTTCTTAGAAGTTTTGCTGCAAAGGAGAGTAAAGGAAAGGGTAGCTGTCAAGGTAAGAGTGATCAAAAGAAGTTTTAAATTTTTTGGTTGTTACTTTTGATTGGGGGAAGAAACCTCATGTTTATGCGTTGGTGGAAATAATCTAACTAAGGAAAAAATAATAGACAGTGTAGGACAGAGAGGGGAGATGTGCAGAGTGGTTCCATGACTAAGTAAGAGAGTGCAACTGAGGACACAGGAGGAATTGGCTTTAGGCAGGTACATAGAAAGTTTATTTTTCTTAATATGTGATAAAGTAGATTATGTGGATTCTGATTTTGGCAAGTGGCTAAATGTGATGGTGAGAAGTTTTGGAAATTTTAGCTAGTTGTTTAGAGTTTTCTCAGTGAAAGAGATTGAAGTTTAGAGAGGAAGTATTGGAGGCTTGGGAAGAGCAGAAGAATGAACAGATCAAGGGAGGGCAATGTGGATTACCAGGCAGCTTTAAGGACCCACTTGAAGTCCACAGTTCATGAAGTTAAGGGACATCAGCTGGTATAACTGTTTTTCTCCATTTATATAGAGCTGTGGGTGAAGATTGAGAGTAGGCAGAGAGTTACATTTAGCAGACTTAATTTGGCCAAGGAAGTAGGACAAAAGAAGAAGACAAGGAGGTCATGGGAATAGTAAATTGGTGATAAGCTCTGAGCTGATTAAAGAGGGAAAGGAATATATCCACATTGCTGAAGGAGGGTGAAGAAATGATTAGAAGTAAGGATATCTGCCCCACCTCCAGGCCTAAAAGATGAGAGAGAGAAAATCAGCCAACCTTTGAAGGAGATGAAAGGAAAGCAGTGTCCTTAGGGGAGAATCTTTGGAGTATGAGAAAGTTGAGATATGATGATTTTAGTTGGTGCTGGACTGTGAGTTTCAGAAGACCCAGTGAGTAGGGATAGGAGGGGGAGGTCATAAAAGGGGAGGTACATAAAGGTGCGTTGTGAGTCTTAGACTTCTTATGATCACTGACATAAACAAGGATAATGGATATAATGAGATCAGTTTTGCTGGCTTTGGTGGCAAGATTGTGAGTATCAAGGACAGAAAGGGCTAAGTGCCTGGGACTTCCTTCTCAGCTATTTCACTTAACCCTTTCACAACAGTAGGAAATAGTGTTGAGTAAAGTGAAATAGTTGGTTTAAAGGAGTCAGTTAAGTCCTTGAAAAAAATCAGGGGTCATTATATTGATTACTGGGTAGCTAAGTAAGAGTGGGTGAGACTGGATTCCAAAATTTTCAATCTCGATCAGGCAAGATTGAAAAGAAATTGGGGGGCACCTGGGTGGCTCAGTGGGTTAAGCCTCTGCCTTCGGCTCAGGTCATGATCTCAGGCTCCTGTGATCAAGCCCCGCATTGGGCTCTCTGCTCAGCAGGGAGCCTGCTTCTTCCCCTCTCTGCCTGCTGCTCTGCCTACTTGTAATCTCTCTCTCTTTCTCTCTGTTAAATAAATAAATTAAATCTTTAAAAAAAAAAAGAAATTGGGCTGCTCTTGGCACAGCTGCAACTGATATGAATTGCTGTTGGTGTCTGCACTCATTAGTACTTAAGACTGATTGATGCAGAATTTATGGTATCTACAGATGGAGGACTACTGTGAGATTATCTTGTTTGGACCACAGAAGCAGACCAGACCTCTGTGGAAAGGGAGAAATTCCAACTGTCCTTTGTCCTGAGAAATGACTAATCATGAAATGGGAAATGAAGCCCCAGGAGGTAGGCCTTGGTTCAGAGCTACATAAACCATCCCCCTCCCTGAGGTTGGTGTTAGTTCGGTACGATTTTGAGACATGGAGTGATAAAGACTGTATTAGGTGATATGATGGAGGCTGGGACTGAGACAGAAAACACTGTAAGAGAATTTGAGTGGGCCTATGCAGCAGTTATATTCTCTGTATTGTACGTTTCCTCCATTATGTGCATACCTAGTCTAAGATGTTACTAAGGGGCTTAGAGAAAAGATAGACTGTGCTTTAGACTAAGGAACCAAGCGTTGATTCTTGGTTCAGTGCCAGTAGGGGAATTCATCTCCTTGGGCTCATAAGCAGCAGGGGCAGCAGCCTAGACCTGGAATAGGAAAACCCTCTTATATAAAGTCCCACCCCTAGGGACTCCCTGAAATAGCTGGTATACCCTTGCTGGCAGGGTTCTTTTGACAATGAGGCAATTGGTAGGAAGCATTAATAATCAATGAACTTTCCTCTTCTTTTTCTTCCTCTTCTCCTCATTTTTCCTGTCCCTTCCCATCTTGAACAATGTAATCCTAAAGCAATTAGGTGCATCAGAATGAAGTAGGCATCTGCAGTTTTCTACTATGGGAAGTCAAATTCTAAGCAAGATGAGAACGGCGTGCATGCAGGAAAAAAATCTGGTGTGGAAGACGTTAGAGGCTAGGAGAATATGGAGAATGTTCAAGAAGATACAAGAAGTATATTAGTTCTGTTGCTGTCACAATAAATTATTATAAACTTAGTTGCTTAAAATAACACACATTTGTTATCTTATCATTTTGGATTGCTTAGCTAATGGCCTCCTCTTCCTCCTTCAAAGCCAGCAGCTTATTATCTTCTAATATCTTTCTCTTTCTCATTCTGACACTCCCACCTCCCTCTCTTAAGGGCCCTTGTGATGACATTTGGACCAATTAGATCATTCAGGATACTATCTCTATCTCAAGATTTTTACTTGATTTTAAGTAAAAATCAAGATTTTTACTTTCTTTTTCTATGAAAAGTAACATTCAAGAATTCCAGGAATTAGGATATAGACAACTTTGTGTGGGTGTGTGCGAGTGGCAGGGTGGTAATTATTCAGCCTACCAAGGGAGGCAACACGAACTACAGCACAGTGAACATCATTAATAATGGAATAAATGAAAGGTGTTGCTACATGATAGGATGCAATGAAATGAACACAGCCTATCTTTAGTGGTATCTCTGTGAAATGCA